TTAGGTTGGAGGCCATCGCTCTTGGGTTGGAGAGCAACGCTTCTAGGCTGGAGGCCATCGCTTCTGGGTTTGAGGCCATCACTGTTAGGTTGGAGGCCATTGCTCTCAGGTTCGAGGCCATCGCTTCTGGGTTGGAGGCCATCGCTCTTAGGTTGGAGGCCATCGCTTCTGGGTTTGAGGCCATCACTGTTAGGTTGGAGGCCATTGCTCTCAGTTTCGAGGCCATCGCTTCTGGGTTGGAGGCCATCGCTAGTAGGTTGGAGGCCCCATCGCTTCTAGGCTGGAGGCCATCACTCTTGTGTTGAAGGCCGTCACTCTTAGGTTGGAGGCCATCGCCCATCGCTCTTAAGTTGGAGGCCATTGCTCTTAAGTTGGAGGCCATCGCTCTTAGGTTGGAGGCCCTTGCTCCTACCTTGGAGGCCATTGCTTCTAGGTCGGTTTGAGGCCATCACAATTAGGTTGGAGGCCATTTCTCTTAGTTTGGAGGCCATTGCTATTAGGCTGGAGGCCATCGCTCTTGAGATGAATGCCATCGCTCTTTGCTTGGAGTTCATCGCTCTTAAGTTCGAGGCCATCGCTCTTAAGTTTGAGGTCATCGCCCTTACGTTGGAGGCCATCGCTCCTACCTTGGAGGTCATCGCCCTTAGGTTGGAGGCCATCGCTTCTAGGCTGGAGGCCATCACTCTTAAGTTGGAGGCCGTCGCTCTTAAGTTGGAGGCCATCGCTCTTAAGTTGGAGGCCATCACTCTTAAGTTGGAAGCCAGCACTCTTAAGTTGGAGGCCATCGCTCTTGAGTTGAAGGCCATCGCTCTTAGGCTGGAGGTTATCGCTCTTAAGTTCGAGGCCATCGCTCTTAAGTTGGAGGTCATCGTTCTTACGTTAGAGGCCATTGCCCATTGCTCTTAAGTTGGAGGTCATCGCTCTTAAGTTCGAGGCCATCGCTCTTAAGTTGGAGGTCATCGCTCTTAAGTTCGAGGCCATCGCTCTTAAGTTGGAGGTCATCGCTCTTACGTTGGAGGCCATCGCTCTTAAGTTGGAGGTCATCGCCCATACGTTGGAGGCCATCGCTCTTATGTTGAAGGCCATCGCCCTTACGTTGGAGGCCATGGCTCTTACGTCGAAGGCCATCGCTCTTACGTTGAAGGCCATCGCCCTTTCGTTGGAGGCCACCGCCCTTACGTTGGGGGCCATCGCTCTTACGTTGAAGGCCAGCATCGCCCTTACGTTGGAGGCCACCGCTCTTACGTTCAAGGCCATCGCCCTTACGTTGGAGGCCACCGCTCTTACGTTGAAGGCCATCGCCCTTACGTTGGAGGCCATCGCCCTTACGTTGGAGGCCATCGCTCTTACGTCTCTTAGGTTGGAACCCATCGCTTCTAGGATGAGAGACTTATAGACTTTTCTGTAGGTCATGGCGATTGGCGGCCACCAAGCTTGCTACCGCTTGAAGAGGTGCGGAGTTTGCGCCACGGACACCGCACTAGAGCTCGCACGTGAAAGAATAGATGGAATAGATGACAAGTCATCCCCATTTGGGCCAATGGACACCTTTAGTTGGGATTTGTTGGGATTTTCACTTCACTCACTTGGTTCAGGTTGATTTGTAGTCCAGTCGTTTTCACCCAAATCTGTCAGACGCTATCCTCATCTACGTATCTTACTTTGGGTCCCTGCAGGAGTGCGGCTCACGGTCTCAAGAACCTCACAGACTGGACCAACTTGGATTGAGAATCTCTGTCGAATCGGCGATTTTTGGGGCTGATCCTTCGTGGGACTTCCTGCCGTCCAGGTGTGTGACCGTTGTCCATGGATGTCACTCATCACCGAGGAGCCCGAGCTGGAGGCGAAGAAATTCCGGACACGTGGTGAAACCGCCTGCACCGTGCCGAGCGGTTTCACCCTAGCCTCCCAATGCTGACATCAAACACTTCTTACAGAGTTGAGTATACATTCCCTATACACCGGAGTCGCTTGAGGGTTGGAACCTGCCTCAAACCAGAGTGAGGACCTACACGTGTTAGGCCCGATATGGCTCGTTTGCAGTGGTCAGTAGTCCAAGGAACTTTTTGAGCGAGTGAGCAGGAGCAACAAAGTCGGATGTGCCCTACAAGTACTGTAAGAGTCCAGTGAAAAGTAAGGCGGAGCTCCTCTCGATATGGTTTGATGTAACATTTTGGTAGCAATCAACATTGCTTCTTTAGGAAGCAGCAGCACAAGAGCAATTTGTACCTCACTTTTGAGGACAGCATGCAGGACACGAAGACTTCTGCATTGCTTTTGCTACTCGCTGCTGTTGCAATTTGCAATGTTTGCTAGCACAACCTTTCCTTGATGCCTTTTTTTACCAAAAGACTTTGGCGACCAAAGTGCTGCTGCCAAACGGCCACCCAACAGACCAACCATTTGAGCGACAGAACAGACCTATTTTATATAAGAGCAATGGCCTCCACCCTAGTAGCGATGGCCTCCAACCTAAGGAGTTCATGACCTCCGACCTAAGGAGTTCATGCCAACATCTCCGCCCATGTGGTCCGAAAACCTCGGGAGGCCACCTTGGCACCGGCAGACGGAGAGGCACGGATTGCCGAGAGAGAGAGAGGGAGAGAGGGAGCAATGGTCCGATTCCTTGGAGTAACATGCATGTTCCCTTCCCAAGAGTAACATGCAAGTGGAAAATGGACGAGCATGAAATGGATTCGTCAAAGATTGGCTTCCTCTAGAAGGGCAGGCTTCGACTTTCTCGTCACTTCCGTGGTGCAATGTAGTGCCATGTAGTGCCTATTGTTTTTCAAAGTTGCATATGATCCGGGAAAACCTATATAACCATCTATAACCTAGATGGCAAGGTTCCTGGATTGTGCGTGGAATTTCAACTGGTGCCCAACTTCCCCACATTGCATTGCTCTCAGGCAAACTGGACAGGGGAGGGAGAGAAAGGGAGAGAGGCTCAAAGAGGACTGGTCGAAGAATGGCCGTGGACCCCGATGTTGCTTCTGAATCAATTGCACGCTTTGGTAAAGGCTACTCACGTGGGCAGGGGGATGAAGCATGCCAGATATCAACAGTTCCTTGCTTGCTACAGTGGCTCAATCTGCAGTTCGCGTGTGTGTTTCCATTTGTGGCAACCAGCACCATGCCTGATATCGCGAAGTCCGATATCTCTCCCAACCTCGA